CCGGTCCCTGCCCGACTCACCTGCGCGGCTCTGCCTTTCAGGATGCAGAACGACATGAAGCAGCCGGCGCACCTGAGGCGCAAGTGAGTGCTGGGACCGGGAGCCTGGGCTGCAGGGCCGGGACGCGCAGGGGGGCCGCTCGGATCCCCGGCCGGGGGGCACCGCGAGCGCTGGGAGGGCCGCGGGGCTGGGGCAGCCATGGGGAGGCCGGGCTGGAATGCTTAGGAGTTTCACAGCCTGACGCCTTCCTCTTCCCGCTCTTTCCAGCTATTCCCATGCTCTGGACGGCATGTACCGCGTGCTCCGGGAAGGTGAGGCCGGGACGCGCAGGGGGGCCGCTCGGATCCCCGGCCGGGGGGCACCGCGAGCGCTGGGAGGGCCGCGGGGCTGGGGCAGCCATGGGGAGGCCGGGCTGGAATGCTTAGGAGTTTCACAGCCTGACGCCTTCCTCTTCCCGCTCTTTCCAGCTATTCCCATGCTCTGGACGGCATGTACCGCGTGCTCCGGGAAGGTGAGGCCGTGCCGGCGTTCGCTTGTCCGTGGTGCCCTCGTTGACACCGGGAAGCCACAGCAGTGGCAGGGGGAGCCCCTGCCGGGACCCTCCCGGGTGTTCCCTGGAGCAAGGTGGGGAAAGGGGACAGCAGGAGGGGACAGGGCCTTCCTGAGGGGTTCTCCTCTCCTGCCCGCCCGCAGTCTGCTGTTGGGGTGTGTTGGGAGCACTGCTGTCCAAGAAACCAAGGCCTCAGGGCAGGGAAGGAGGCTCCTTGCTGCAGGAGAGCGTGATTAATGTCCCGGGCCTGTGCTGATCCCTGTCTGTCCACAGAGGGCTTGAAGAAGCTATTCTCAGGGGCTACAATGGCATCCAGCCGAGGGGCCCTAGTCACCGTTGGGCAGGTAGGGCAGCTCTGCTGGGCACTAGGTACCCAGGGCGGGGGGTACCTGGCTCAGAAGGGGAGCGGGACGTGTCACTAACGCGCTGTGTCTCTGCAGCTCTCCTGCTATGACCAGGCCAAGCAGCTGGTTCTCACCACGGGGTTGCTGTCAGACAACATCTTCACTCACTTCCTGGCCAGCTTCATCGCTGTGAGCAGGGCTGGGAGGAGGGCGCGCGCGGCCTGGGCTTGGCCCTGGACAGGAGTCGCGCGCTGCGTCTCGGCCCGACGAAGCGGGGCTGGGCAAAGGGCCCCTGCCCGGGATGCTCCAGGCCGGGCTCTGGACCTGGCCCTCTCTCGTCGTGTGGGTCGTAGCGGCACCAGCCTCCTCCGTGGGCAGAGCTGGTGACCGCCCGTTGGGTCTCCCCAGGGCGGATGCGCCACGTTCCTGTGCCAGCCCTTGGACGTGCTCAAGACCCGTCTCATGAACTCCCAGGGCGAGTACCGGGTGAGCAGCCGTCCCGCCGCAGCGGCTCCTGCCCCTTCGCGCGCCGGCGTCTCGCTCATCTCCATCCTATTGATTCCAGGGTGTTTCTCACTGTGCCATGGAAACCGCCAAGCTTGGACCCCTGGCCTTCTATAAGGTACCAAGATGCGTAGGATGAGGTGCTAGGAGCTGGGTGGAGAACGGTGGGTTTCCTAAGGGGAGTGCAGGTATCCTCAGTGATGCTCCAGCATTTGCTGGATTTTACTGGCTGTTGCAGACACTGTCAGCCCCTTTTGTCCGGGCTCGGCACAGTGGCCGGTGTGCTCAGGCTCACGGCTGGGAGGGCCCCTGGAATAGCATCTCGAATCCAAAGTTTCTTCCTGATGCCGCTAGCCAGGAGTTTCCCTGTTACAGCCTGTCTGCTCATCTTCCCCAGGCAGCCTCCATCCCCCTTCTGAAACAGGGCAGTGGGACCTGACACTGGCTTCTCCTGAGACTCTGCGGAGTGGTGATGGCAACAGCGATGTGTTTGGGGCAGGGGTTGGTGCATGAGCCCCGTGTGGGCAGCGTGGCTGCCGTGCCCCTCTCACCACTCCGCCA